CGTGTTGACCAACAAATCATTTTGGGCATATTGGCAATTCCTTTGACATTTTACACTTCCTTATTTGATGTGACTCACTAATATCTGTATACAAAATTGTGCATGTGTAGTTGTATTGATCATAGCCATATAATTATTAAAGCTGTGTCTGAAATAAATGGGAAAATAAATATTCAACACATAACACGAAGAGAAGGCTAACAATGGTGAACGCGGGAATATTCAATCAATCGGATAACATGGCCCAGCCTTGCACACGCGGTCATTCTATATAACTTGTCTTTATTCAAAATGAACACACTATCCTATCTTTAGCCTTAATTTGTTCAAAAGTACTGAATATCATATTATTACGACACGATTAGTCACATTGATGTGACGTCCAAGTGAGATCTTTTAGATTAGGCAGTCACATCATGTCAACTTTACAATTTTATGATTGGGCCCATTACTATAGTAGCACAGATAAATGTGCCAATAAGGAACAAAGCCATTATTATACATATTAACTGAAGTGGCGGGTGAACTTTTTCACTAATCTTCGACTGGTTAAATTTTAATAATGAGTAAGGCCCGTGAAAGAGAAATGAGCTGTTTTCGAGTAATTCTTCAATTTCCAGTTCATCTGCAGTTGCGTTAGGCTCTAGTCATACAATACTCAAAGCCAAACACAAGATAACTGGGAAAACAGATATTCAACATTTAACGCGGTGAGAAAATCAACATTAGGGAAGGCGAGAAGAATTAATGGAATTCAGTCGGACGGCATGGCTCAGCCTTTCAGGCGCGGTTGTTCTGTATAACTTATCTTTACTCACATTAAGTATATTGCTTTATCTCCAGCCCGAATGTGTTCTTAAGAAACTCCAGACATGTTGTTATTTGTCACTGTACACAATGATATGACGTCCAAGTAAGATCTTATATATTAGGCAGCCACATCACGACACATCTACGATTTTAGGATTAGGTCTATCATTATAAGAGTACTAATAACGAAGTAGACCATAACTCAACAATTCCATATCTCAGTAGTCTAGTCATCAGGCATTAAAAGTTGCATCACGAAGCATTGAGGCTAACAATGTCGGCACCAACAAATTACTTGATCAAATGAAATTGGTGTTTGAGGTACTCTGCCTGTCTTCCGTCTTCTTTACCCATCTTTTCGCTCAGCCTGACAAATATATCCCCGCCTGACTTAACATTAGTTGTTCTGCAGAAAAGTCTGAACTAAGTTGGTGATCCATGCTAAGAAGTCATTGGATTTAAAGTCTTAGATTGGAAACCGTGTAATGGCTTAGATACACGTTCCAGTTTAGATTTTTGTGTGTTAAGATGTACGTCATATAAAACACGTACTATTGTCTATGATATTCATAAATCACAAATGCGCTAGCGCCTTCAAATACTTATGTTAACAAAAACATACACTACATACGGCTCAAAATCTTGTTAACGGAGGTTTTAACCATCACTGGAATAATTTTAACCTCACCCATCAGTTAGACCGACAAGTATACCAACTTTTTGAAATGTGCCATTGAGCGATTTCTTTTAGTTCTCTAGCACATAAGTTTGAGATGTATTAAGTTAATTTTTAGAGATAAAAGTTGGTTAGAATACCAAATGTGTTCTATCTGGTGAGAGAATGAAGGGATTATTTCAAGAGAAGAGTATGCTAAAATAGACCGATAACGATACTCAGCCACATGTATACAACTGGTTAATGATTTAGTGACTTGGCTTCTAGCTGATTCCCAAGGCTCCGCTTGCCAATCACTCTGATAAACAAATCCCAACAATGTGTGGATTCAGAAGGAAACACGAATTATTATCATTGGATAGCGCAGTTTACAAAGCTACAAGAACACCGAGCGAATTTAAGCAAAATGGCTAATGTGCACGAGCAAGCAAATACAGTGGTGGGTTCACATTTGAATCGAATCGGGCCTAAGCGAAGCAAAGCAATCGAGATTCAAGCACGTATATAGATGGGAATGCGAATGATTCGTTCCGCAGGAACGAGACGCTACATGTTCGAATGCGATTTACCTAGCCGCCCTTGACTAAACATTGCATTTCGGCGGTGATGTAATATATGCCAAAGGTAAGGACTTTCTGGAAGCAAATACATAATCCCGATTGAAGATTATTTAAATCTTGAGATCACATATATTCTCAGACTGAGCAGACAACCAGGGGAGAGACCAAGAGTTACAATGTTTACTTTCATCATTAGATGGAAGCTTGATCTGCTGTGACACGAATACAGGAATTGCTTAACCTTTAGTGAGGGAACCATTATTTAGTGATATGTATATAAAATATAAAATAAATAAATTACAATGTCTAAATCCTAAGGTCACTATAATGTAGCCGTTAATAAATCCCCGAAATCAATAGCTCTGTAGGTTTTCGACAATTGATGCTGACAACATTAGTTTTAATGGACTCACCTAGCTAAAGGAGCTCGGTCAGGCACCCGCCCCAGTTCACCAGTGGGAACACTGTGCTCAACATCCCTTGCAACCGCTAGCCATATTAGATCAGTCGATCCCCGATATGTTGATAGCTTATCAATTATATCTTCGAAGCTCTTCGTTTCTGACTTTTGATTTCACTTAGTGAATACGATTCATATTAGGTGTTGCTGGTGAAGATGCCACAGGTATTCGGAGTTTGACAACGCTTTAACCAGTAACACCTTCTAATACGAAGCGCACCCACCAAGTAAAATCAAAAGACAGAAGTGAGGAGATCGAAGATATATTTGATAAGCTATCAATATATCGAGGATCGCTTGCACTAATCTGGCTAGCGATTGCGGCAGATGTTGAGCACAGTGTTCCCACACGTGATCTGGTGCGGATGCTTGACCGAGCGTCTTCAGCTAGATGAGTCCACTAAAACTGTGGTCAGCATCCAATGTCTAAAACTTACAGAGCTATTTGATTTTGGGTAATTATTTACCGCTACAGATCACTCCCCCCCTAGTGGAGTAGTGATGACCCTAAGACGTGGCCAGCCAGAAGTTTAAACCCAACGAGTTTTTCGTTGGTAAACACTCTTCTGATATCTTGCCAGGTTTAGCAGCGTCTGGTCGTCTTTCCTTACTATAATGGACCATGATGTACAATACAGTAAAAAAAAAAAGGTACAGTGCCGATTTTCGTTTCTCGCAACTTCGTCGTTCTTTTCATCGTCTTTTCCAGTCGTCCTGGAAAAAAAAAGAAAAATATGTAAGTGCATGTCGAAATACACTGGTTAAAGCGTTGTCAAACACCAAATACATGTAGTAATTAAAATATCAACCACTTAGCTTCTCTAAGTATATTTGGGTTTCATAGGTGTAGAAGCATTGCCGGTCGATCTGAATAATCTTTGAGTCCTTTCAACATACTCTCGGAATATGCGACATTCTACAGAATAATGAATGGGCCAAGAATGTGTAGCGTGGTGTCGAGTTGAGCTTGACTATGAACACCGCTACCAGACTACGTGCCAATAGACCAATAAGATTCCGGTAGGCCAAAAATCAGAAGGCAGATGATAGTAGTAGTTGTAATACATTTGTTGGCGATCTCGTGGTATCGAAAGAATACCGAGATCGTGCCAAAGGAGTACAGATGCGATCGGCAAGAAAAGATACGTGCGTAGTCGAAAACCGCGTAGAAGCAATGGAATACAATGGAAGACCAAAATGGCTGTTATTAGCACAGTTAAACAAACGAGCACAATAAAACAATCACTGGTACAATTGGTTATAATAATAATTGTTTTCATCGAACCAATCGCGTTCTGTTGACAAAAGTAGGTCACTACAAATGCTACATATAGTCGAGGTGTGACAAAGCCTTTACACGCAACAAATTTATAATTAAAGTATTCCAATTAAATCAGAAGTCAAAAATAATGTGGTTTGAAGATTTATTTAGAAGGCTATCGATATTTTTAGAAGCGTCTATTCTAAGCTCGAGGAGTAACACAGCATACCCACTGGTGATCTGGTGCGGATACGTGCTCGAGTGCCTTCATATAGTTGGGTCCAGTAAAAGTGACGTGGTCAGCATCAAATGTCGATGACTTACAGAACAACTTACTTTGCAGATTTATTTACTGTTACGAGGCAGTGGTGCAGATGAATCTAAGTTCTTAGCTGGTTTACATGAATTACTAGTGCTTGGATTTGTAGGTTAGTTTCAGAAATAGTTCCAATTTTTACCAGTCATGATAATAGTCACTAGTTTATCTTCAATGAAAAAGCACTTTCGAAAACTGAAAGATCTGGAAGTAGTTGTAATCCATGCCTCTCAACTTGAATGTATGCAGTGGTGTGCCAGCTGCTTACAGCCTTTGGACTACTGTGAGGAATTCGTAGAGGCTTTCGGATTCTACCCTTTACCAACCTAGGTCATAAATCAAAGTGCCTCACACAATTAGATACTTTATGTGCTCTCCTCAGTATTCTAGAACTATCAAGCTTCCGACCAGTAGACGCGAATTTAATGCCAAACCTCAATATTCCGAAAGAAGAGGGATCTAAAAGTCAAAATCTAATGCACTTATTATAAAAAGCGAGGTGAACCAATATTGTTGATCAATATTCCGAATAATGGCTTGTGTACTTCAAAGTCACACATTCCGTTATATTTAAAGATAATCAAGTCCGGCAACACTACATAATTGAACGGTCTAGTGGTGGGACTCCATTTTTCTCAGAGTGACCGATGACAAGTGGAATCAGCCTTATGAGCGGATGTCTTCGAGTAGACTGTATCTTTACAGAAATGCTTACAGCAAGTACCCACATTGGTTAACTGACTTACCATCCTTAATAATAATGACTGAAATAATAGGTCGCAGATTAGTTACTTTGTGTTAACTATGCCTGGTACCATACTATTATATACCAGTAAGGTATTACTCATGGAATGTTCGAAAGCATTTCTGGCCAGAACTCAATGAATTTAAACCTACAACACCCTAACTTCATTTATTGGATATTGAACAGTTGACATACAAATCACTTGAAAGTTCAGCTATTGGAGGTCCTGTGTTTTTTCTCAGCATCTGTTTTTCGCTTCTTTTCTTGTACGAGAGGGAGTTTTGACAAGGTTGGTTATTTATCTACACGAAACCACTGATAGAGTTCAAATGGCAAACTTACAATTCTGTTATAACAAGGGATGTGCTCAGAAGTTCGATCCAGAAGAGAATTCGGAAGGTAACGGTCCCACTGGTTGTTACCAGACTTCACAGATTCGTGTCATTACCATCCTGGAGAGCCAATTTTTCATGATGCCAAAAAAAAGTGGTCCTGTTGCAATAAGTACAGCACAGACTTTTCGGAGTTTTTAAGCATAAAGGGATGCGCTGTAGGGAAGCATAACAGTGTCCCTCCAGATAACACTGTCAAAGAGAAGAAATCTGATATTCCAACTAAAGTAAGTCATTAGTTCCTGCTAAAAAGCTGCAGAAATGTCTACATGATCGAAAGTAGTGTGATAATACCTTGGAATATCTTAAGTTTTGTTCCCATATCATTCATTGGGTGAATTTTTGCAGTTTTAGGGGACACCTATTTAAGTCTTCACTGTTAAGAATAGGTCGGACGACTTATAGTAAACTTCACAATTCGTGGTGTCGCGATTGTCTTATTGCTGTTTATATATTTACACCGGGTGATGACACTACGTATTGTGGTAGGGGATCCCCCTAATTCACGAGTCGGTGCGAAAAATAAAATCTGAAATATGTACATGCATTTTAGTGTTTTTGTTGGAACGAATATATATATACTTAATTACCGATTGCTTATGTTTCGGTATATATAACGGACAAGCCCACCGTCACAATAGATTTTCCTTGGCTAACTCATTGGTTTGTGTATCATTTCATTGGTTGATAGGTTTCGAATTTATGCGTTTAATGTTTTACGTACGTAAAAATCGGTGTAATACAAGCCGGTACAACAATGCTTTTGTTCTTGGTGTCATTTTGATCAAACCGATCATAATTCAAAAACACACTAGAAAAAACTCATTAGGACAAAATTACGTTTGCAATGTTTTAGCTCTACGTATAATAACCGAGGTTTGCTCAAGAGATATCAGTTTAAATTTTATTTGAATTTGTAAAAGTGTGTGTTTATTGTCAAGTTCCTTGGGGAAGTCAACTCTGATTGTCATGTTTGGGAGTGAAACATCATTAATCTCAAGGTCTCCAGAAGAAAGTCATCAGTATTTCTTTAAATGAAGCTCTCGACATTTGGACCACTCTAACACTTAAATCGAGGTTAGGTATTTGTTATCCTATGAAATAATGTATCTGCCTTCACCTAGATAACCAAGTAGCATTATAGTGACTATGATTCATAATCATCCACTTACGGATGGGGACTCATGCTTGTTTGAAACACTGTATTCCTATCCGTACATACGTAAATATTTCCAAACCATAAGTATTGTTTCATATTGTGATCCTTAACCAGTATTCTTAAAACCATTATAAATACGTAATTCGTCATCGTGAGAAGTAGATGACATATTTAGTTGTCCTTTCATAGTCACTCAATTTCTTGCACAGAATGAGACTAAACCACACCTATCTGTTTATCTCCGGACTCGTTGATCTCAGATTTGGATGGGCTCTACTGACATTCAAGTACTTTTCTAATGTCTAATCATTTATTCAGGATCTTAGCAACATGGTCTCGTGTTTTAAATTTGATTCATTCGAAAATTTCTCATCAGTCATTTCCATTGATTTTTTGTAGCCTATTCCTACACCTACTCCTGTAATATCAAAACCCGTTGTATCCCAAAGACCATCAAGTACCGAGCCCACACGTGATCTTCCAATCGAAGTTGCATCAAATCTCAAGTCAGCTCTAGAAGAATTATCACTAGATCCATCCTTCAAACCACTACAGAATTCTACAATAGAAAATAATAATAAAGGTTAGCTTTTTCATGATTACCATTCATGTTAATTTCATATTACGTCTATTAGTTCTTAATATCGCTAAGCTCAAATAGTACTTACAGATAATAACGACTGGAGATCACGCACAACGATAGTCATTCGTCAACCTATAATTGAGTTGAAATGGGGCTTATATCAAAAAGTCATCTGATTTCACGTACCAACTCAGCATATCTTATTTATTTTTATTTAAAAATAAACATTGGTACAAGAAGGCATCGTATATATATGCGCCACAAATCATTTGATTTGTGTGAGGGCTGGAATACTACCCGGGCGCTCAAACTGGTTTTGTTGGGGAGCCACACCCCTAGCCTTTGACCTACAGGTCTAATCCACAAGGCAGTGGAGCAACGTTGGAAGATGCTGTCCCATGGTCGCCGGTGACCAACAATAGGTTCATGCGTCTTTTGTTTCCTCGAAATCTTCGAGCCCATGTGTACCATTGGTTTGGAATTGTGGTTTTCCAACGCCCCTAGGTGGATCCTCCATATCCACCAACCCGGTTACAGCGCCGGACATTAGATTTCTGTCCTCTCAATTTCGTAAACAACACCCCGTCCGTGAGCAGGACTTCCCTGTCAGCGGCTGTATATGTGTGGCCATGTGAGAGCATTTTGAGAGGGAGAGCTGACTCCTCACTCTCGGCCGTACCAGGGCATTTAGGGGCAATCAATATATCTAGGTTGTGTTTCACGACTGATGATGTCATTCATTCCTTTAGATTTTGTACGAGAGTAGACCAGTTTTTACCTAGTCTATTGCACTCACGTTGTGAATCTACTAATCTTGATTGTATCGTGTCCCACGAAGTTGATTCACTGATTGCAATCGTAAAACCAATTTATTTTTATGTTTAGTATTGTACTGTCATCGTTGAACTCGATTAGACTTATATTCGGAAACATACTGCTTAGTCTTGGTAGTTTAATGCTTGGTCTTCATCAAGAATTAATTATTTTCACTAAAATCATATCAGAAATGATAGTCTGCAGCTATTTAACTGTTTAGTGCTTTAAATTAATATAATATGCTGTTATGTTTTCGCTCTTACGGTTATAACCCAGCTATTCCTATTGCTTAGTATTCACGGACACAAATTCACTCGACAAGGCCCCAAATCAGAACACGATTGAGCAGGAAGATTATATTCCAAATAACAAGGTTAGGTGGAAGCAAGAAGCAAAATAGGAAAACCGTTAGTATATTTATAGGTTTTTACATAAGAAGAATCTAGAAGCTTCTCCATGTATAGACTAGCGCTGATTGGATAAGGATCAGCCAATCAGCGTGCGCCAAAGCAATCGTGCATTGAGCATGCTTAAATCCAATCTATGTCCCACTAACATATGCGTTCGATAATTACTGTTTTAAATGCTTTATCTCAAAATAAAGCTATGACCTCTTCTTTCTCCATGTTAGGTAGTCCTTCACTTGGTACAAACTGCAAGAACACTGCATGCAAACAGGTAAGTCGAGGTGATGTGTGTAAATTGTAAAATGTTTAAATCGTATTATTCAAAGTACCACCTATGTTGACGCCTTTTATCGACTGGCGTAGAGGTAAGTCAGAGGAAAGCTAGTAGTGACCAAATCAAAACTTGGAATCAGTCCATAAAGTCATTGACATTTAGAATGAGTTGCTTGGTATATGCAAACTACTTGGTCAGAGTCTGCGCAATCATTGTAACTAGTAGTTGAACATTTTTGGTTATATAGCTTGTAATTGTTTTTGATGACTGACCGATTTACCTTTATTTAATCTTTGTTTGCCACACTGACCAGCTAACGTTTTCTTTGTAGGTTTATACAGGAACAGATTCAGATAGTGGACTCTGTCTATACCATCCCGGTGTAGCTGTATTTCACGAAGGGTAAACGCATTGCTATCTCTTTTTTACATTTGATAAACCTTTAAATATTTACAAGACTTCTTGTACCATGAAAACTATTTTACAAGTCTTAATCAGGGAAAGTAGTACAAGTTCGTTAAAGTTATGAATTGCTGAGTTCCACATCCCTTTTTCCCAATAGTTAAATGATTATAACTCCGTTTTCCAGTCGCGTGACCGATTTTATAAATTAAAAAGATGAAACAATGGGGATTGTTTAGAACTAGGTCAATCAACTTGTTTATATTTTCCTCGTACTAAGCACTTAAACTAGTCGTTAAAAATTGGTTCTCAACATTTGGTCCTAAGACTTAAATTTAAAGTGTTACACACATGTTAAGCAGCAGTTCTTTTCAGTTTATAATCATTGCTCAATAATGTATTTAAAACAACAAACATATAAGAGAACAATGTTGTTTTCAATTAGATCTTCACCAAGTTTTACTTCAATATACGGTAGTATTTCATATGCATATATAAAAAAAATACTTAATCATCCGAGTCAGTTTGTGTGTCAGTCACATCGTAGAACCTGTACATATGTAGATCAGTCCAAGTGGCCATAGGACAGAGATGAAGTTGTCAGTCCAGATCCCAAGATGGTTAAGGTTGTAACAGTATCAGTGGATCAAAGATACGACTCGAACGGAAAATACAAATTAGCGAAATAAAAAAGTTATGAGGAATTTAAGATCTCATGATTTGAGAGAAGACAAAGAATGAATCCACCCGCGCCATTGCAAAGGATTTTGAGTCATGTTATCCGATGTCTAACCATTGGTTAAGATAAATACACGGACCCACAACCAGGCAGTCTGTACCTATTAACATACTTACGTCCAGTTGTCAGTGACTTTATGAACTGATGACTTGTTTTAGTTTGGCTGACCCTAACGTTTTTCCAGACTGCTCCTGCACCGCAAAACATCTCCCGTCAAGGTAGGTGGTGGTTGGGTATATGTAACACATGTCCAAACTACCTCAGTTGATGTAAATGTTATAAATCATTGATCTGTTCCCCTTCTTTACTTAGTATTCTATTTCCAACACAGGCATTGCTTACTTCGTCGTCCAAAAGCACATGAGAAATGCTTTGTAAACACCTATGATCGAGTACCATCCCTCAAACGCCCTAGTTCGACCGAGAGTGGAGATGGCCTGTTCTCCCTCTCGAAATGCCGCTCATCAGGCCGCCGACCAGGAATCTCCATCCTCCTCTGTCCTAGACTCGCCTCCTTTCCAGTTGTTTCCGACTACTGTCCATTCTCTCGATGCTTACCTTCAATTCCCGACTCAGCGTGTTCTTTGGTCTACCTCTTTTCCTTTCGCCTTCAGGATTCCAAGTTAGGGCTTACTTTGTAATGCAGTTTGATTTCCCTAATATGTGTTCAACCACCTCTTATACCATCGCTTAATTTCCTATTCAGCTGGAAACTAATTTGTTCCCTCCCACAGTATGTTGTTGTTGATAGTGATATTTGGTTGAGGGATCTGTAGAATCTTCGATAGACAACTGTATATCAATACTTATACCTGTTTGATGATAGTTTTATTAGTTCTCCAAATTGAACAAGTGGTAACTTCTCATGAAACTAGATTGTTGATACAAATCTCCAATGAAACAGATATCAGTAGTCTGAGATAGCTGAACGGGCTTTTTCATCTGATAAAATGACGTGTTTATAGTCAGTCTCTAATGAATTAAGACTTAGTTTAGTATATTACTATAAAGGTTAACTAATTAATTTCAGGTAATAACGCTCAAAATGAAATAATCGGTTAGATACTGTTTCTTTTTCTTTATGAAATACATTTATTTTTGCTTTATTTTAGACTGAAGTATTGGACTTGTTGTAATCAGAAAACTAGTGATTTCGAAGCATTTCTTAAACAAATCGGTTGTACTACAGGTCATCATAATTGGACAGTGGAAGTGAGTTCACAATCCATATATTACTTACGCCTGTTACCCATAGTGAAGGAGCATAGGCCTCCCATCAGGATTCTCCATCCAACGCTTTCCTGGGCAATAATTTCCAGATCTTTCCAGTTGTTATTCATCCTTTTTATATCCGCTTCTATTTCCCGACGTAATGTATTCATTGGCCCCTCTCTTTTCTAATCTAAGGCTTGCCTCGTGATGTAATGTTGTTATTTCCTCAATGTATGTCCTATCCATTTCCATCGTCTTTTCATAATTTCCTCTTCAGATAGAAGCTGGCTTGTTCTCTCTCATAGTAGACTGTTGCTAATGGTATCCGGCCAATGTATATTGAGTATCTTGCGTAGAGAACTGTTTATAAATACTTGTACGTTCTTGTGATGATGGTTGTATTAATCGTTCAAGTTTCAGTTCCGTACAATAGAACTGCCTTGACGTTCGTATTGAAGATTGTGACTTTGATTTTGGTTAAAATTTGTTTTGAGTTCCATATGTTCTTCAATTGTAGAAATATGGCCCTTGCTTCGCTAAAAAAAGAAGTTAACAATTGATATATAAGTGAAGGTTTAAAAAAACTTTCATTGTACTTCAACTATTTCTTTCGCGATAACGATGCATAGAAAATGTGCTCAAATTATGAAATAATAATGCTATTTATGTTAATCGACACACATTCCACACAGAATAGAATCTTCACTTTAAAATCATCATTACAAAATATTTGAACTCTATCGTTGTTGACAGTCAAGACTAAATTGTGATTAATCTTTGTTTATGTATGTTAATTTTTTATGCGGATTGTGGCTAGCAGCAAGATCTAGGATTGATGTTTCATCCCATTTGTAATTTTCCAGCCTATTTTGCTTGCACTCTATATTGTTGATGTTCAAAATTCAATTCTAAAATGTTTGCAACGGAATTATTCAATTCCTTATCAATAATGATACAAATGTCATACTCATTGAATTAATTAGTGACTACCGAAACTCATTAGTTCGGTAGATAACCAGTTGTTGTGTTTAAAGTGAATACTACTGTACTAGGTTCACGTCTCAATCTAAATATCAACATTGGGATATAGGTACATACAGCTGGTGAGTTCTAAAAGAGAGTAAAATACATATTCTGGATTCCACCAATGATCGAAATTCATCTAAAAAAGTTTTAAGTTTGTTACCCAACTTCCATGTGAATCCTGTTTTTTTGTTTACAGAAGGAGAATCAATTAGAAAATTGTATTTAGACAAAAAAGACTGAACAATTTTCAGTCCTAAAAATCAAAGGGAAGATTCAAGTAAAACAATACCAAGTGAATTAAAAGCTATTCAGTTTTATGAAATAATAAGAACGCTTCTAAAAAATTCTGTTAAAAAAACGAATTAGTATTATTGTTTATAGACTTAATATTCTACAAGGAAAACGATTGTTGAAAGTATATTATATTTACCGGAACAACACATTTTGGGTTGAATACTTACCTACTTACGCCTGTTACTCCGAATGGAGCATAGGCCATAGACCAGCATTCTCCAACACACTCTGTCGTGGACCTTCTTTTCTAGTTCCATCCAATTCTTGTTAATTTTTCTGATGTCTATCTCCGTTTCCCGGCGTAATATGTTCTTTGTTCTTCCTCTCCTCCTTCGGCCTTGAGGATTCCATGTGAGGGCTTGTCTTGTGACAGTTGGGTGATTTCCTCAATATGTGTCCTATCCACTTCCAGCGCTTCTTCCTGATTTCTTCGTCCACTGGAATCTGGCTTGTTCTATCCCACAGAAGATTGTTGCTAATAGTGTCCGGCCAACGGATCCGAAGTATTTTGCGTAGACAACTGTTAATAAACACTTGTATCATGTGGATGATGGCTTTCATAGTTTTCTAGGTTTCCTCTCCATACAGTAGAACTGTGTTGACATTTGTATTGAAAATTCTGACCTTGGTGTTGGTTGACAGTTGTTTTGAGTTCCAGATGTTCTTCAGTTGTAAATATGCTACTCTTGATTGCTGATCCGCGCTTTCACATCTGCATCAGATCCACCGTGTTCATCAATGATGCTACCCAAATATGTAAAGGTTTTTATTTGGGTTGAATAAACAAATCATGTTTAAACATGTTGAAAAGCTAAGACGATCTTTTCATTTATTACTTCTTATAGATAACTGTCACATACTCGACATGGTTGAACTTCATTAGTTACTGTTTCTCGGTAGAACTCCTGAAATTACATTTCGAAGTTATTTATTAGTGAGTATAAAACTCTATACTGAAGAATAATAATTCGTTTATGTTAAACTCACATTCAACGTAATCAACTCAACAATAATAATTTATTCTCAACTCATACTACTACGAAAAATGACCAGTTTATTATGACTGCTAAGTGTTCAACTGGTTTTTGGTTGGTACTGGGACTCCCTAATCCTACGACGCATAGTGAGAACATAAAGGCTGGTAATAAGGATTTATCTGTCTATCAAGATGATATATCCATATATCATTTCTTTATAATGTAATTTACACACCGTCAAATTTGTATAAATGGAATTAAGTAGTATTGAAGATCAGTTAATCAATAAATTACTTTGTGAGCACATATTTATCAATATTATACAGTCGATGATCTACAAGGAACAGATATAATGAATTAAATAAGTTATATAAATCACAGAAGATTAAAGAAATAATAATTTTATATGTGTTTCGCAATCTAATTGATTAAATCTATGCTTACCATATCACAGCATCCCTAACACTCATGAATTCAACTGTTACAATATTACAATCTCTGCAAATCCCCATTCTAATACAATAAAGTAGTGATTTTATACTTTTGCAATTTTATAGATTAGGTGACTCAGTAGTCTAAGGATTCATTTTCCAATCATACTATGTCTAAAACTCAGTCAGTAAAAACGTAGAACTTCGTACGTACATCAGTTCGAGTTGCCCCAATACATTAGCACAGAGATGCAGTTGTCGATTCAAATCCCGTAGTGGTAGAGGTAGTAAGAGAATAAGCAGTAATTGGAAAGATTAGGGTTTGGAGATATTATTCAAGGAGTTTAATCTAGTGAAGTAAATTTGGAAAGAGAAAAAAAAGGTCTAAAACTCAATTCTAACTCTACTTCCTTCAACCTGAGCAATTGATTAATCTCACACGTATAGAGTTTGATTCGAAATCAACTACACTGATTTATACTTGTTAACAATAATGATTGATTTTCAGCCAATACATTCCCATGTTCGAGTTCCATTCCACCTATATTGATTTGAGTAATTAGTTAGTATTATCTAACACTTACAATTATTATTAGTGGCTTTATTCAATATTATATTTTTGGTACAATATAGAATCCTCAGCACAAAGTATTTCAACAAGTTTCCCTTTCTTATTTCTTGATCAGTTCCTTGCGATAAATATTGAGTGGTCGCCAGTTAGATGTTAGCGGTTCAGGAATCGACATCTAATAAATGTTTATCCTTTTCGATGCATCCATTCTCTGTGTTCTCTAACTCTAATCTTCTGAATTCCTCATGTCCTTTACTTTCTTTCCAAATCTATTCTACTGGATTATACTCCTTAAATAACATCATCAAACCTTAAGGTTCCCTGTCACTACCTCTACCACTACGGGATTTGAATCGATAACTGAATCTCTGTGCTAATGTGGTATGGCAACTCAAACTGATGTACGTACGTACGAAGTTCCACGTTGTTACTGACTGACTGACTTTTCGATGCATATTGCCAGTAACCATGATGTCTCTGATTGAGCTCTTTTGTAACTTGTACAGTGAAATGTTGTAAACTTTTCACAAACGTACCTGAATAGGTTATGAGACTAATAGGCATAATGATATGTTAAAACAAACAAGAAAACAGATAACTTGTTGAAATATTCAGATGGTAGGAACAGGTAGCCCAGATATTCAACTGATTTTACTTACAATCTTTAAACAAGTTACTTTTATCATTTGACGTTCTTTCTTCTTTTTCTTCTAAATTTTTATTTAATCATAGGATGCAAAATCTACAAATGCAACATTAACACTTCAACCAAATACAAATTGTCGTTTTGATTGGTATCAATTTGGTGGTTGTGTTACATTAGATATATATGCTAAAAATATATGGCCTGAAACTGTTTCTATTAAAGTTAATCAAATAGTTTTACATGTTTCATTAAAATTCGGTTTAGATTATCAAACATTTGAAAGAGATTTCAATTTATATGGTGTAAGTTATCTCTTTTGTCTTTTCTTTTTTTGCTTCTTTAATTCGTTTTTACGTTTAGAGAATTCAGTGAAGAAACTTCTCTTTTCGACGAAATCATTTACTTAAGCTATACATTCGCAGTTATAGTTGTTTGGTAAATATATTTGTCTATAGAAGGATAGAAAAGATTACATCATAAATTAATACAAGACTCTTATTATCAAACGAGGTTATGTAATAATCAAAGGGTAAAGAATGGGGAAAGTCAACTCTCCCTCTCGAAATGTTCTCACGTGGTCATGTGCATACAACAACTGCCAGAGAAATTTTACTCAACGACTTTTCATGGCGGGGGTGTTTTTTACGAGATCGAGAGGATGAAAAGCGAATGTCCGGCGCTTTAACTTGGTTGGTGAACGCAAAAGATCTACCTAGGGAAGTTGGGACACCCTGATTACAAACCACTGATGTACATGGGTTCCAGTATCCTAAAGGAACAAAAGGCGTATGAACCTATTGTTGGTCACTGGCTACCATGGGACAACATCTTCTTAAGTTGCTCCACTACCTTTAGGTCAAAGGCCTCGGGTGTGGCCCCCTAAGTATACCAATCACTTCGGTTTTGGGATCCAAGTAGTATCCCAGCCCTCCCATAAATCGAATGATTTATGTGGCGCATATCTGTTTGGTACTACCTCGTACCAATGTTTATGTGTTTGAATAAATAATAAGAAAGAAATATAAGGATGAAAATAATTTATGGGTCATAATTATGAAAGATAATTGTCCGATTGACAAATATGAAGTAAACCGAAAAACAAAGGTAATAATTTAATAGTTGAATTCATGAATCAATTAAAGCTAGACCACTATGGAAAACCTGGAAGCATTGGATGATCGTTTCGTCCTATAATGTGACTCCTTAGCAGTGTGTATCCACGATCCTGTCTCGCGAGATTTGAACGCATGACCTATTAGTTTCGCGCTCAAGCGCCTATCCATTAGACCACTGATCCGACATCCAACGGTGTTAATCTCTAACTTCAACTAATCCACGAAGGTGCCAATCATAAAAACTAAATAATCATGAGAAATTGTATAAAGGTAGTAATTATTAATTACAATTTAAAAAATCAATAATAATCAAATAAAAAATGAAAGAAATCGAAACATGCTATAAAAGGGAATTAGGATCAAGGAAGGATATGAAAGGTTGGATATGTTGTTTTTTACACTCAAAGTTCGGGCTTGAGTTGGGGGATTGTCAATGCCTCAGTAGTGTATAAGATTTTTACTAGAATTCTCTTCGATCCTCTCTCTTTACCCCTTGATTATTACATAACCTCGTTTGATAATAAGAGTCTTGTATCAATTTATGATGCAATCTTTTCTATCTTTCTATGGACCAATATATTTACCAAACAACTATAACTACGAATGTACAGCTTATGTAAATGATTTCGTCGAAAAGAGAAGTTTCCTCACTGAATTCTCTATCTTTATTCAATAATATCGTAATCAATCAATTAGTTATTGAATAATAACTAATAATATTATTGTTCGAGTTACTTAGTGTTTGATCGAATTCTAGTAAAGTTGTAAAATGTAACTGTTGTTCTTAATGATTCAACAACATCACATTGATTGTGATGCATAATAAAGCATCAGATCTTTCAAGGTTGTAAGCATCTCTTACTGACGAATCCGAAGAAAATCTACATCTGATCACTTAACAAGGTGTTTTTTTTTATACCGCTAAAGAATAATCATGATTTATCGAGTATCTTGTTCAGTGTCTTAAACGTTACTGCTGTCACACCTCTATACAGTCAGCAGTACAAGTTCGCCTTCGGACTTTGGTTTTGTTGCTTTTAGTCTTACCGCTCTTCAACCGACCTGTCTGGCATGGTAGGACCTTGAGGAACGGTTGTTCCGGCCAGTATAGCTCGGTGGTTGTTTCATCACGATAGGCAAGCCTGACCACCACGTCAAAGTAACAACTACGGTCGGGTTACGTTTGTTATTATATGATTAATCATCCTTGCTTTTAGTTTGCTAATTTGATTGTATCCCAAAATCATGGTTATTGCTATTTATACAAAGTTGTCTAATTATAATTTTGTATTGTTTGAATATCAAAATTTTTTTGAGTTCCTGACCTTTCTCTCTCCCATTGCTCTATGGATGATTCTTAAAATATTGTAATTATAAATCACATAGATCCCATTTCATATTAGAAAATTCTCCTATTTAAAATTACCTAAAGTGTAACTGGTCGGCGGCCTATGCTCCATTAGAAGTAACAGGCGTAAGTAAGTAACTGACCATTAAAAAAACAGAACATAATTGTTGCTAACCATCTAACAAATATAATTTTCTGTATTATATTGATTTCTTTTTTCCTATACTTTCAGTCTATAGATCCAAAACAATCTATTGTTAAATTAATGCCATTAAAAGCTGAAATAATTTTGAAAAAAGCTGAACCAATATCATGGCCTACACTTGAATGTAAACTATTAGATAATAAAGCAGATAATTCAGATATTAATAATAATGGAGAAACAAGTTAAAAAAGAAACAAAAATAGGATGTATTTCTATGGAAATATGGTTATTACAACGATTACGCAATCAAGAATGTTATTTGTTTGACTAATAATAATAATTCATCAATCTCTCCCATATGATGTGAGTTTCTCAATTGTTGATACTGAATAACTATGAAACATTTTGTTTTTCTAACAATATAAAAATGTTGGTTTGTTTGTTTGTTTTCTTCCTGTAATGTATATGTTAAGTGAATTGATTCAATTGTCTCTCAATCAGTCAACAACAATGTAGAACTTTGTACGTACTTACGTATATCAGTTCGAATTGTCATACCACATTAGCACAGAGATATAATTGTCGATTCAAATCCCATAGTGGTAAAGGTAATAAAAGTATAAGCAGTAATCGGAAAGATTAGGGTTTGAAGATATTATTCAAGGAGTATAATCCAGTGAAATATATTTAGAGAAAAAAAAACGAAAGGGACACGAAGATTTCAGAAGATTAGGATTTGTGAGAACACAAAGAGTGTATGCACCTGCGCCATTGTAAACGATTTTGAGCCATGACACCAAGAGTCTCCAACGATTGGTTACGATAGTCACACGGATCCCAACCAAATAATTTGCATCTACCAACAAGTCTAAGACTATCAGTTAGTGACTTTACAGACTGATGCCACGTTTTGGTTTGGCCGCCACTAACTTTCTTCCAACCGTCCCCAACACCGGTTAGCATTGCACGTCGGCGTAATCGGCCTTCAGGCATACGCAACACATGGCCCAACCATCTCAGACGATGAAGATTCGCAACCTTATCAACTGATTTAACATCATTCCCTAATACCCTGCGTCTAACCTCACTATTACTTACACCTGTAGTCAAATATCAGTAGCTTACGAGTATCTTCTACTCTTAATGGCCATGTTTCTCAACTGTAAAGTAAAACAGAACTAACTGCCGCGCAGTATACCTGTCCTTTTATTGATAGACGAATATCTTGCCTGCGCCATAGGTGACGTAAGTTGGCGAAAGCCAAACGAGCTTTTCGACAGGTATAAGTATTGATATACAGTTGTCTATCGGAAATTCTACAGATCCCTCGACGAAACATAATCATCAAGGACAACATACTGTGGGAGGGAACAAATCAGTTTCCAGCTGAAGAGGAAATTAGGCAAGGATATATGAGGTGGGTAGAACATACATTACAGAAATCATCAATCTGCATTATAAAGTAAGTTCCAACTTGGAATCCTGAAGGTGAAAGTAAAAGAGACAGACCAAAGAACACTTTGCGTTGGGAATCGGAGGTCAACATCGAGAAAATGGATAGTAATAAGAAACAACTGGAAAAGAGAAGAGTCTAGGACAGCAGGCCAGAGATTCCTGGTCGGTAGCCTGATGCGTGGTATTTTGCTCCATTCTACTTTATGGGTGTGAAATATGATCATTAAGAGTAGGGGATATTCGTAGGTTACTGCTTTTTATTTATTTTGACACATAAACATTTTTACAAGGAAGCATCAAATATATTTGCGCCACACAAGTCATTTGATTTGTGTGAGGGCTGGGATATTACCCGGGCGCCCAACCCAAAACAGTTAGTTTTGTTAGGAGGCCACACCCCGAGCCTGAGTAGGTTGGAGATTCCTGTTCAGTGGCCTATGCTCCACGAAGAGTAACAGATATAAGTGAGAAACATTAAATGAAACACAAGAACATGTATGGGATTAACAATATAGTTATTACTGTGTATAGATAAATCTCAGTTATAATAATGCTCAAATACATACAAATTTAATTATTTGAATAAGCTCTTCCTTGATTAAACTTCTATGTCGACGGAATAAAATCTTTAGAAGAAAAAGGTGTTCGCCCATGAGGTCCTACGTTTAAGCCCCGCTTGCAGAGTAGTAAATGTACAGTGCTGAGGAGTCCCATAATAGGCTGAAACGACTGTCTAGTGTTTCTAGGTTCACAAAAGTGGTCTAGCCGTAGATCGACTAGTGAATTGAACTGTTAGAAAACATTTCTACTTGGTACTTTATTTATTTAGTCAAACTCATAAACACTAATACAAGGGGACACCAATATATATGGCCACAATAAAATAAGATTGCAAAGCGACAGGGAAATGAAGGTGACTATAGTTTTAGGAAATTAATGGCATTTAGTGTATGAGAGTGAAATAATGGTAATAGGAGATGCAGTTCAGTTTAAAAAATACAACCAGCAAGGATTCTTATAGCTACTCTTTTGAAGAAAGTTACAACAAGATCGCTTCTGTTCTGGGCTATGTCTGATAACGTCTCAAGCCACTGTAATGTTTCATATTTAGGACCCCATCATGGAGTCAGTGAAGAACAATAGATGACAGTCCTGTGCACGGCTTTCTTTCATATTATGACACTGTCATATGCTGACTACGTCCATTTTCTTAACCAGTCACAGCGTCCACAAACAATGCATAATGTGCGATTCACTGGGATGACATTCGTAGTACATGTCCAAACGACCGATGTTGGTGTTTCAAGGTGGTTACACCAATTGAATTATCGTCAACGTGCTTGAACACACGTTGCTGAACCTCTGGGTTAATAATTTGGTGTCAGTAATCTTCCGAGACAACGGTTATCAAACAGAGTTGTTTAGCACCCTCAAAGCCAAGTTTCACAGTATTTTGTCATTCTCGTATTTGCTAGTCATAAAATGACCATTTATTTGCACAGAGAATTATGAGCGTCAATAACATATGATCGTATACCTCTAGTGGCTAGATGTGGTTTTTGTGTCAGTTAGATGAGATAGCCTTTGAAATCCTATGCACACTAGTAAACTGATTCATTTTAAACCAAAGAATCATGAATGGTGATGAAGTGTATCATGTTTATTACGAAAGAAATTAAACATAGCAGTTTTTGATCTACTGAAATAAGCAACAATAGAAAAATGAGTAAACTAGGAATAAAATTTATAAGATGCCTGATATAGTGATTTAAAATTGACTACAAAAATCCATTTGTGATAGGTTAAACAGACCTCGACATCTGAAGGAAAACACGGTATACAATGGACAGCTCAAAACCAATTAGACGATTTGGACTTCGCACATGACCTAGCCCTCCTATCGCATACACACGAACAAATGCAGATAAAGACAGCCAGCATAGCAGCAGTCTCTGCATCAGTAGGCCTCAACATACACAAACGGAAAACCAAGGTCCTCAAATACAATACGGAGAACAGCAATCCAATCACTCTTGATGGCGAAACTCTGGAAGATGTAGAATCCTTCACATACCTGGGAAGCATCGTCGACAAACAAGGAGGTTCAGATGCAGACGTAAATGCGAGGATTAGAAAGGCAAAGTCATTCCTTCAATTAAAGAACATATACAACTCAAAACAACTGTCTGTCAACCAATATCAAAGTCAGAATCTTCAATACGAACGTCAAGGCAGTTCTACTGTACGGAGCTGAAACGTGGTGAATTAAAACAATCACAATCAAGAAGGTACAAATATTTATCAATAGCTGTCTATTCAGTATCCATTGGCCGGATACCATCAGCAACAGCCTTTTGTGGGAGATAACAAACCAGCTTCCATCTGAAGAGAAAATTATGAAAAGACGATGGAAATGGATAGGATATAAATTACGCAAATCACCGGATTGCACCACGAAACAAGTGCTAATTTGGAATTCTGAATGGAAGTGGAAAAGAGGAAGGCCAAAGAACACATTACGTCGGGAAATAGAAGCGGATATGTAAAGGATGAATAAGAACTGGAAATTATTGTCCAGGAAAGCGTTGTATGGTGAATGCTGGTGAGCGGCCTATGCTCCTTTACGTGGAGTAACAGGCGTAAGTAAGATAGGTTAAACACACTTAAATCAATGGGATCGTTATGGTTCACTGTTTGATCCAGTCACACTCGGTTATTCAAGATATCCAGATGGAGATGACAGACTACTGAAGAAAGTTTTATTTCCGAATAAGAGTACTCATTCGTATTTATAGGTGATAGGATGACTACAACTAAGTTACGAACTTAAATAAATGAATTTTTAATTCACACGCGTTACACTTTATCTACCATGGGTTCTTTAGATACCGTGTATACTATCTGGCTTGGTCAATGATTAGTCCAAAATTTGATAACAGATCAATGATTCTTAACATTTAGAACATTCTACCCAGTAAGCTTATATAAATTCTCAAAATCACAATCAATAATTATATGGAGGTGTTTGAAAAAGAGTAATGATCTGTACTTGATACTCCATTGAATAATTATTTCAGCTCCGAAATCATATTAAAAGATAATGTTCAATAAGTATCTTAATACAATGCCTAACTTATGTGATATACTTTACGAATCACATGAGCCTTGTCTGAATTGATTATACCACAACAGTCCCTATCTATATATATTTGCAGTAAGAAGAGATTGGCTTAATCCTTTTAAAAATACCTCTTACTAACTCTATAGAAGAGTTGTTTGTTGTGACCTTAGGAAATCAAAAAAAAAAATTAGTAGAAGACAAACTAACTAATGAATTGAAAGTATAGTCCATCGTACTTTTTATGAATTCCAGAAGCAAGACAGATCCATTAAAGTTACAGAAGTTACAATTCAAATATGATTTTTAGAACATTCTTAGTGGCATCGTCAATAACATAAAAAATTTTGAATACATAATAACTTATAAGCCCTATAATTCAAACTTTCCAGACCATGAATTCAAAAATAGTCTAGGTTACTTCATCATTGTTCTCAGTCGTCTTTTCCATTGCCTATATTTTTATCTTTTGCAGCATACTACTTACTAATGATAAGTAGTTTGCCATATCAAGTCATTTCTCAATCATTCCTGCACAAGTGTATGGTATTGCTTATTGGAAAACAATTTTTTTTATTAAAATTAATATGATTTACACATTAATATCGACAGTTATCTAGTGTGTCCGAATATAGTTTTAATCTAACATTCAACATGATTTTGACAAGGGAAGATAGCTAGTCAGTCAATCAGCTACAACGTAGGACCAGGTACATATATGCATCGGTACAATTTGCCATAGGAAAGATAACTAAGTATAGGTTCATTTGAAGGATCCATTACAACTCTCTCTTATGCTAGCTGCATATAAATGTAAAGTTGTCGAAAACAGATTGATAATCATACAGTATAGTGTGATATAAAC